AATAATAAAACTAAAATATAAGTATTTTAAAAAATAAATTTTTTTAACAAGTATCTTTAAAATAAAAATTAAAATATATTTATTATATTTTTTCGATAAAAAATATAAAAATAAATTTCAATTTTACTAACCAACTAATTAAAGTCACCTAATATTAAAAACAAAGTTTATTTTTGTAATTTTTCATACAAATTATTAAAAAAATAAAATAAATGCACTCTTAATTCATATTTTTAAAATACATGTTAAAAAAACTTTTAAAGAAATAATGTAATATTAAAACAAAAGCGTAACTCAGTTACCTTTCTCATAATTTAGAATTCAATTTCTATACTTAAATTTGTATATTTGATTTTTCTTTTAAGAAAGAGTTAACTATTTTGCACTTTTGTTTTAACATTACATTATTTCTATAAAAGTTTTTTAATATGTATTTTAAAATACAAATTAAGAGTGCATTTATTTTATACTTTTTAATAATTTGTATGAAAAATTATGAAAATAAACTTTGTTTTGAATATTAGGTGATTTTAATTGGTTGGTTAGTAAAATTAAAATTTATTTTTATATTTTTCATCGAAAAAATATAATAAATATATTTTAATTTGTATTTTAAAGATACTTGTTAAAAACATTTGGTTTTATTATTTTCTAATGATAAATTTTGTTTTAATTAAAGAAAAATGGTGACAAAAGAAAATAAAGAGAAACAACGATGTGGCAAATTTGGTCCTGAGATGTGATAAAAAAACAAAAAAACAAAAAAAGAGAGAGAAACAATGCTGCTGGAAATTTGCCCCTACAATGTGGCCAAAAAAATGAAAGAGAAACAATGCTGCCGAAAATTTGCTCCTACCATGTGGCCAAAAAAAAAAAATGGAAGAAAAACAATGTTGTTGTTGGAAATTTGCTACTACCATGTGGCTGCTTACATGGCAGCACGTGATCCCATATGTAGAATTTCGTTAACTCTATTAACGGAGTTACATGAGATAGACGAAAATGAAATAGTTTTAAAAGTTAATAGATGACTTTGAAAAAAAACAAGATATCTAAACTAAAATTAAAAAAAATAGTTAATGGATAATTTATTAAATTAAGCCGTGGCTCTCAACCCATTTTTTATTTTTTAACCAAAACTGCCAGTGTCTAAAAGTTGGCTTTGGCACGAGTAATCTAAAATCTGAGTAAACTCTATCTCTCTATTTACAACTCTTACTCAAACTTTAAGAAACCAAATCCTTGGGCCCGAAGTGAAGAGAAAAACAGAACTTGTCTCAGCCTGTTGGGTTGCTAAAACATGGGTTGCCTGTACCTGGGCCTGCAGTATTGGGCCTGCTAGGCTGGAATCATTTGGTAAGACACCATTACCCCCCTTTTTTGAATCCTTTTCATGCTCAAAATTAAGAGTATTGGGAACTTCCACATTCAAATCAAAAACCTTCCTTTTGTTGTCTCGTTCTAAGCAATCGGTTAAACCCAAATCCACGCAATTGTGCATATTTGCAGTCCCCAATCCATGGTGTGAAATCCTCCCAACAGAATCAGTAGCTTGCTCAATACAGATCACATTTTGATTGTCTTGCCTCGGGTGGTCATTTGTCAATCCCCTATCAACTCCCCAATCACCTCTACTACAATTAGTGTAGAAATCACTTGTTTCCTTAATTTGAGCACCTTCCAAACTGGGATTATGATGCCTTTATCACAGCTCATCGACTGACTTGCCGGAGGCATCTCTAAGCCACCGCCCCCTGCTAGCTTCCTTCGCTCTTTGTAAATGTCTAGGCACTGCCCGTAGCTTCTCATTGTAAGGACGTTCTTTCACACTCAGCTGCTCCATCTCGAGGCCAAGTTCACAATCCCATTCAACATGATCTAACATACCACAACAGTAACAAAAGTTGGGTAGTCGTTCGTAACGGAAGTCTACCCAAATTAAGCCCTCTTTCAATGAAAGCTTCATCCCCCATCTCAGTGGCTTTTTGGCATCAATATACACCCTGACTCAAATGTACTTTACCCCCCATGCATGCCCCCCTCCATCATCCATTTCAAGAAGACGCCCTAAATTTTCCCCTATTTGTTTGCTCGTCTCCACTCTTAGACGATCTGGTGGTAACCCATGGATTTGAATCCAAAAGGGAACTTCATATAAATCATCTTTCGACACCTGCTTTCCCCCTTACACCTCTTTCAACACCATAACATGGTTCACAAAACGCCAGGGACCAACAGCCAGCATTCTCTGCATGTCAACTAGGTGGAAGAAGTAAAAATCAAAGATGTTCTTTCCCAGCAACCTCATGTGTATGCCTTTAATCGGTCGCCAAATGCTAGCAAGTGTATTGTCCATAGCCTCCATATTGTAGCGTTTTCTGATTAATATCGTGCCCACCAGACACCAGACAGTACTGCGAGCCCTGTCTCGTGGTATCTATGCTTCCTCCATCATCCAAAACAAGCCCCGTTTCCTCCTCTACTGTCAGGGATAAGCCGCTCCCTAACGCTGCCGTTAGATCTCGTATGCTCGACTCCGCTGCCATACTGATGGTAAAACTGAGCATTATTTCTTTGGTTGACTCCCACGAACGAGGAGAGAAGAAACACTCCCAACTTAAGAGAAAAAAAAAATTCACTCTGGGCCCAAGTGATCATTGTTTAAAGACTAGAGGCTGGAGGAGAGATGTTCGTGAGCGACAAACTACAAAAGTTTATTTGAGGTTACCTGCTCACATATTAAAAAGGAAGGATGAGAAACTATTACCAACAGATGGCGCGCAATGATGGGAGTTCGATTATTCTATTGGCGGGCTGTCGCGGCACGTGAGTTCGGGGGCCGAACTCGAAGGCATCATGGCACGGAGCTATAGCCACAGGCACACAGGAGGTGTGTGCAGCGTCCAGGGGACATGCCATGTAGTGTCGTGGAGTGCGAGCGCGGACATGAGGATAGGCGCGAGCACGATCATGGGTGCCAGTGGAAGAGTGGATGCGGGTATGTGGGACGCGGGTGTCGATGTCGCGACACGGGGTTGCGATTACGGCACTATACATTCAAGGACTCAAGCGCAAGGTGGATCGCTCGAGACACAGTGGGCCTTACCAGCGGAGGCGTCGATACTGGGGCCGTGGCATGAGGTTGCGGACAGGACATGCATGAGCATGCAGAAGCAGTCAGGGGCGACTTGCGTGGGTGCGCGAGAGTGTCCTAGGCCGAGACACGGGTGCACACACGGGCCACCTGGGTCGAGATGCTGGCACGCATGGGGGCGGACAGGCTCGAGGCACTGGCACGCACGGGAGCGGCCAGGAGTGTCCATAGAGCGTGTCATGTGTGCAGCTGAAGAAGTGTCGACACGCGAGAAATACACGTGGATATGGTGTCGATACCTTTGCAGCGGACTGGAGCAAACCAGAACTCTCTAGAAGCTGCTGGGCGTGCGGGAACAGTACCAGACAGGGGTCTGGATGGGCTTGTTGGGCCAAGCCCAACCTCGGGTTTCTCCTAAGGCCTTGTAGATAATTCTAGAATAGGGGATTCTAGAATAATGTAGGCTTAGGAGGGAGAATGGAGAATGTTCTGGAATTGTACATATGAGGGGAATTGTGTGGAGTGTTCTAGAGACCTCACCTGTAGAGGGGCTTAGGCCTGATCTCTTCTATAAATAGGGGTGGCTTTAGTAAGAAAGAGGAGTAGGCTTGAGCAAGTGAGCTACTAGGTGAGTGAGTGCATAGAGGGGTTGTGTACTCATGCTCTTGTACACTCCCTTGCGATCTTAATAAATTCTCTTCTTCTCCCAACTTCCTACCTTCATATTCATGTTGCTAACCTCGAGCCTAGTTAGAGGGCCACGCCAAGTGTTGGGGAAGGCTGACTTGGTTCGGGTTGATGGGGTTAATTCCGAGCTAAGTGCCACACAAGGTCGAGCTAGATTCCGCCTCCAAGACAAGTGCCATCCGAGCGAGTCTCACCCCGTGATAGGGCGCTACTATGCAGGCTTGCTAGTCGCCATGAGTCTCTTTTGTTGGAACTGACTGGGGCTTGGGAACCCTCGAGCAGTTCATAGCCTCATTGAGATGATGAGGTTAAAGAAAGTAGTGTTTCTTTGTGAGACATTACTGGATAAGAAGGGGATGGATAGAATTTGTAGAAGGCTTGGTTTTCAACATTGTTTTATAGTGGAAAGAGTAGGCCGTAGTGGGGGGCTTGCTATGCTCTGGAAGATTGATGTAGTGCTATCCCTATTGTCTTATTCTATGAACCATGTGGATATGGAAGTTAAGGGCCTATGAGATTATAAATGGACATTCACAGGCTATTATGGACACCCTGAAAGGCATAATAGATGGCGATCGTGGAATCTAATGCAAAAACTGGCTAGCTAGTCATCCTTACCTTGGTTGATTTGTGGAGATTTCAATGATTGTTTACTTTTTGAAGAGAAAGTTGGAAGGGGTGCCCAGCTTGGTTGGATGCTTCGGGGTTTCGATGAAGCTGTTGATGCTTGTGAGCTAACTGAGGTTTGCATGGTTGGCGGCTTTTTTACTTGGAGAAGGGGAGGATTGTTGAGAAGCTTGATAGAGGACTTGCTTTTGCTAGTTGGAAGAGGTTTTTCCCTCGGGCAAAAATCTAATTGCTACCACTATTATCTTTTGATCATAATCCCTTATGGATAGTTCTTGATGGACATAAGGAGCGTATGAATTCTCATCGAAAAAAATTTCATTTTGAAGAAATGTGGTTGAGGGACTCTGGCTGTTATGAGGTAGTTCAGATTGGCTGGCAATCGGTTGAAGGGGAGGGTACCTAGAGTTGTCTCATGCAAAAGGTTCGTGCTTGCTCAAAAGGCCTGGAGTTATGGAATTCCAAACAGTTTGGCCATGTGCAACAGCGTCTAAAACAATGCTCTAGCTGATTAGAGGACCTACAAAATCAAGTACGCTCGGAGGCAATTGTCTTATGGAACAAAGCATACTGGATGAGACAGAAGAATGGTTGGAAAGGGAGGAGATTATGTGGAGATAGTGTTTGCGGGAGATTTGGATCCAAGAAGGGGATAGAAACATTCGTTTTTTCCACAATAGAGCATCTAAACTTAAGGATCGCAATATGGTGGATAGGCTGCTAAATGAGAATGGGGAATTGACATCTGATTTCAATGCTATACAAGGAGTGGTTACTAGGTATTTCTCCAAACTCTTCACAACATTGCAACCCTCAAACATCGGAGTTGTCACTATGTGTCTACGGCCATGTGTTGAGGATAGGGATAATGTTTTTTTGCTGTAGGAATTCAAGGAGGAAAAGATTGCTAAGGCCCTTTTCCAAATGCATCCTTCAAAAGCACCAGGTCCTGATGGCCTATCACCCATTTTTTTCCAATGTTTCTGGAGCATAGTAAAGGATGATATGGTTAAACCATGACTCCACTACTTGAACCATGGAGTTCACTTTCCACAAGAATTGAACTTTACAAATATTGTGCTTATCCCGAAATGTAATGAACCAAAGAGGATGGGTGATCTTAGGCCCATCAGTTTATGTAATGTGACATATAAAGTCTTCGCACATGTTTTGGCAAACAGATTCAAGCAGGTTCTACAATGAGTCATATCTCCAGAGCAAAGTGCTTTTTTGCCAAATAGGCTCATTACTGATAATTTCTTAATCACCTATGACGTGCTCCACTTTATGCAGGCTCGAAAAAATAGAAAGAAAGGGTGGCAAGCCATAAAGTTGGACATGAGTAAGTCATTTGACCGTGTTGAATGGCCTTAATGAGGGCATTGGGTTTTTTTGAATGATGGATCAGTTTAATAATGGGATGTGTATCCATAGTGCAGTACAATGTCTTGTTAAATGGGAAGGATGTTGGGCAAGTCACATCGACTAGAGGACTATGCCAAGGGGATCCACTATCTTTTTACCTTTTTTCATTTTATGTGCAGAAGGGCTGACTATGATGATTAAAGATGCAGAGAATAGAAAGTTGTTGCATAGAGTTAAAATATGTAGACAGGCTCCAAAGATCTCTCATCTTTCTTTATTGACGATAGTCTTCTTTTTTTACAGGCCACTGAATCTAAATCCAAAAATCTACTGGATGTTCTTCGAAGGTATGAGATGGCTTCTGGGCAAGAGATAATATGCTGAAATCTTCAATTATTTTCAGTAGTAATATACAGCAACGAGCATGTGATAGTATTGTTGGCCTTTTTGATATGCGAGAAGGAGATAACACCGTGAGATATCTTGGTTTTCTAGTTCATGTAGGCCGGTCACGGGCTGCTATGTTCTTTGGTTTGAAGAACAAATTCTGGTCACATATTGGAGAATGGAGAGAACAAGCTCTTTCAAGAGCTGGTTGAGAAATTTTGATAAAATCTATTTTGCAGGCCCTTCCTATCTATGTTATGAGCCGTTTCTTGCTTCTTCTTGGGCTTTGTGCAGAGTTGGAAAAAATTATGATCAGGTTCTGGTGGGGCGAAGGTGAAGATGTGCACAAAATTCATTAGATGGATTGGAGGAAGATTGCTATTCCAAAGAAGTAAGAGGGTTTGGGCTTTTGCTCCTTACATGAATTCATCATTGCCATGCTTGGTAAGCAAGGTTGGAGGCTGCTCGTAAACTCTGATTCCCTAGTAGCTAAACTAATGAAGGCTAAATATTTCCCGTGCTCGAGCTTGTTAGATGTAACTTTAAAGCCTTTGTGCAACTTTACCTGGAGAAGTATTTGGACTTCTATCCCACTTTTGAAGTAAGGATGTAGAAAACTGATTGGAGATGGACATTCTACAGAGATCTATAGTGACCCTTGGCTTTTGGGAAACACCCAATTTTATGTGCATACACCATGCCCTGAAGATTGTACTCTTCGATATGTTAGTGAACTTGTAGATGAAGAAACTCACTCATGGAAACGTGACCTAATTCTTGAGATTTTCAACCCGCATGAAGCTCAATTGGTGTTGTCCTTGTCGTTGAGTTGGATGAAGCACAAAGATGGCTGGACTCGAAACTTTACTCACAGTGGTATTTATTCGATTCACACTGGGCATCATCGTGTTGTGGAGCTGCGTAACGATGATGGTCCCTCAACTTCTAATGGGTCTTTTAGAGGAGGTCGCTTATGGAATCTAGATATCCTTAAAAAGGTACGATTACTCTTTTGGCAGGGGTATAGAGATGTGCTTCCTACAAAGAATAATCTCCGTCGCTAACGAGTGGAAGTTGACTTAGATTGCCCCATATGTGGCACAGAACTGGAGTCGATGCTACACTGTCTTGTGTTGTGCTCGGCTGCACGAGCAACATGGCTGGGTTGTTCTCTCAGCCTTCGAGCCACTGATTTCCACATTGATAGTTTTGCAGACTTTTTTGATCATGTGAGTGAGATTATGGATAAGGACCATGTAAGGATAGGTCCGAGATCCTTAACCTCGGACGTACTGTAACAATTCCTTAATAACTGAAGTGAGATTAATTCTAGCACTTCCAGTCAAATGGCTACATGGTAAATATAGTGGACATGTCCGCACCTAAGCTTTCATACAATTTCCCAATCCCGAATTTACCGTCGGTCCCGAATTTACCTCCTTAAGGGACACGTCACACTCCGATTATTCTGCTAAGCAAGCCACGTGGATACTTCACAAAGGCCTATAAATACCCCCTAAGGGCCACCTCAAAAAGGTAATTGAAACCAACCTAAAGTTCCTTTTTTGTTAGTCCAGAAATAGATCAGATTATTAGTGACTTAAGTATCGGAGTGTCTACCCCGAGGACCCACCTTGGGGCTTTGCAGGTTCATCCGAAGTGAAGACGCAGACTGAAGAAGGATCTCTGGTTTGGTGCAATTACATTGGCGCCGTGTGTGGGAATCGAACTGAAAGATCTCTTGTTGCTCTCTCATCATGGTTAACACTCGATCCATGGTTAACACTCGATCAGGTCGAGCTAGAAATCCATCTCAGCCTCTTGGACAAGGTCAAGTCTCCAACAACCTTCCATTTCACCTCCCACCTCAGATCCCAAATATTTTCCCTCCTGTTGATCATGTAGAAGGAGGAGATGAAAACCAACCTCACAACTCAGCTTCCACCGCCAATCAAGACGTAGTTATAGCTCAACTTGCTGCCATGCAGCAATAGTTTGGTGTTTTTTAGTTAGTATTGGCTCAGCTCCTAGCTCGAAATAATCCTAGTGACCCCTTCATCAATTTACTTAACCCTACTCCACAACCCCTAGCTCCACAACAAGACCCTCAACCAGTTCAGCATGCTTCTGCTCTCAATGAGTCTCAGGGCCAGTCTCACATAGCCTCAGCTTAACAACCTCTACTTGATGATGTCACTCGACGTTTAGATAGCTTAGAAAAACTGGTAGCTGAACAGCGAGGTGCTCCACCTCCACACCACAATACTGACTCCATACCCCATCCTCTAAACACCAACATCACATTGGAACCTTATCCCGCTGGCTTCAAAATTCCTCAGCTCGAGACATACGACGAGACAAAGGACCCCGATGGTCACCTCCATGCCTTCTATTCCTGTATGCAAGCTCAGAACACCTCTAATGCGTTAATGTAGAAGATCTTTCCCTCCACTCTCCATGGTAATGCCTGAACTTGGTACTATAGTTCGCCCCCAAGATCTATTAGCTCCTATTCAGAAATGGCATCTGCTTTTGCCACAAAGTTTTTCAATAGAAGGTTGATCAGGAAAACCACTTCTGAACTTATGCGAGTCAAGTAGAGAGACGGAGAATCCTTGAAGAATTACATGAGTAGGTTCAATGATGCAGTTCTTGAAGTCAACTCCTTCAACCAAGCTGTGGGAATTGCAATTGTAATTCAAGGTCTCCAACATGAAAGATTCAGAGACACCTTAATCAAGCATCCTATTACTACTTTCAACAACGTTAATTACAGATCGTTGAAATTCATCACTGTTGAGGAATATGCTTTATCCCACCAACCAGTTCCTCCCAGAAATCAAAACCCAAATTGGAGAGATGAGGGTCAGAGCAGAAAATGGATGAAGACAGTACAAAATCGAGGTCCGATGATGACCTGCCCACCTAAGTTTGGAAAGTCGAACTCCGTACCTCCCCGGCAAAATATTAGTAAATCACCAGTTACATGGACTCCTTTTAATCTATCGAGGTCGTAGATATTCATGCAGATCAAGAATAAGATGGATTTGAGGCGACTAGGACCAATGTGAAGCTCTGTTGTTACACGTGATCACACCAGGTATTGTGATTTTCATCAAGATCATGGTCATACAACGGAGTAGTGCAATAGTTTGAGGTCCGAACTGGAAAGTCTCGCTCAGAAGGGCATGTTGAATGAATACATCCAACGAACCGAGCAACCGAAGTTTATTAGAGAACAGGGGGCACAGCCATAGGGATCTCATAACGCAGGAAATAGACAAGGCGTGGGATATCAACAAGCCCCACCTCCACTCCCACCACTAGCCAGAATTATACATATGATTACGGGAGGCGCTTGGAAGCAGGAGGTTTAAGCTCTAAATAGCGAAAGTTGTACGTCAGAGAGGTCAAACATCCAAACCGAGCTCAAAAACGAAAGTTTGACGATGCTGATTGGAAGAATCAACCCATCACTTTCACATCTGCTAATTTCGACGCAGTTGTCACACCTCACAATGATCCTTTGGTCACTTATGTCATGATTAACAACTGTGAGGTGCAACGTGTCCTTGTCGACATAGGGAGTGCACCAGACATCATGTAATTTCATTGTTTTGAGAGTCTTGGATTGGATTTAGCTTTGTTACAATGGTACGATGGTCCCATCTATGGATTCAACAACCAACTAGTTCAAGTAAAAGGAGTTCTTACCCTCAATGTTGCTTTTGGGAGTGGCTGAACTTATGTTACCCCTTCAGTTTGGTTTCTAGTTGTCAAAATGGCGTCCTCTTTCAATGTTGTTATTGGCCGACCCACACTAACCGAAATCCGAGCTGTGGTTTCCCAATCTCACCTCTGCATGAAGTTCCCAACTCCCATGGGGATACTACAAGGCAACCAAAAGGTGGCCAAACATTGCTATATCACCTCGGTCACGAGACCTTAGAAAGACAAAGATTAGACGTTGGAAGCCATTCTCAAACGGATTCCTAACAATCAACAAGTCATGCGTGTTGAGATAGTAGATAACTGACCAAAGAATGAACCCAAAGTTGCTCCAGTCGAGGATGTCGAGGAAGTACACATTGATGACAGAGATCCAAGCTGAAAAATGCAAATTGGAACTCGATTGAGCCCAAAGGAAATAGCAGAGCTAATAGCTTTTCTCCGAGCTAACAACGATGTCTTCGCTTGGACTTCGGCAGACATGCTAGGAATTCCAACCTTGGTATCCCAGCATAAGCTCAGCACCAATCCATTGAAGAAACCAATAGCCCAGAAACGACGTCTCTTAGGGGGGGGAGAGGCTTCAGGTCATAAAGGAAGAGGTAGAAAAGCTTCTACAAGTTGGTTTCGTCAGAAAGGTTGACTATTGTGAATGGGTGGCTAACCTAATGCTGGTCAAAAAGGCAAATGATAAATGGCGAATGTGCATCTACTACACAAATCTCAACCAAGCTTGCCTCAAGGACTGCTATCCGATGCCGAGTATTAACAAACTGGTTGAAGCGGCTTCGGAAAATGAGAGATTAAGTCTTTTGGATGCATATTCTAGGTATCACCAGGTGCCGATGGCTCTAGAGAATGAAGAGAAAACCTCGTTGTATGCTGGTGACGAAATCTATTGCTATGTAATGATGCCATTTGGTTTAAAGAACACAGGTGCTACTTATCAGAAAATGGTGACCATCATCTTCCGAGCTCAGATCTGCAGGAATCTGAGAGTTTATGTCAATGACATTGTGGTAAAAAGCCTAAAAGCATAAGACCATCTAGCTAATCTCGATGAAACTTTCAACAACCTCAGAAAGAATAAAATGGGGTTAAACCCAGCCAAATGCATTTTCGGCGTGGAGTCTGGGAAATTTCTAGGCTTCATGGTTTCCCGAAGAGGGATTGAGGTCAATCCAAAAAAGATCAAAGCAATTGCCGAGATGGAACTGCCGAAGTTAGTGAAAGATATACAGAGGTTAACTGGAAGGGTGGTAGCTCTTCATAGATTCATATCGAAGTCAGCAGATAAGTGCCTGCCATTTTTCAAGATCATGAGGTCAACCGCCCAAAAGGACGAATCAGGCAAACAGAAGAAGTTTGAATGGAACCAAGAATGTCAAGTCGCATTCGATGAGCTAAAGTCTTATCTTAGCTCACCACCCCTACTAACTAAGGCTATAGATGGAGAGATTCTCTATTTGTACCTTGGAATTTCAGACGAAGCAATTAGTTCAGTTCTAGTGAGAGAAGAAGCCAAACAACAGAAACCAATTTATTATATTAGCAGCGTGCTGCATGGCGCAAAACTGAGGTATCCTATTACTGAGAAAGCAGCATTAGCAGTTGTCACTTCGGCCAAAAAGCTGAGGCCATATTTCCAATCACATTCAATCATCGTCTTTACAGACCAACGTCTTAGATAAATTCTGTAGAAGCTGGAGTGCTCCGAAAGATTAATTAAGTGGGCAGTAAAACTGGGAGAATTCGAGATAACATTTTAGTAGAGGTTTGCAATCCGAGCTTAAGCACTGGCAGATTTCATCGTAGAATGCACTCCATGTCACTCAACCCCTAATCCCGAGCCCAACGACTGGACCTTATATTTTGATGGAGCATCTAATAGTAAGAGTTCAGGAGCTGGTGCTCTCTTAATTGGCCCAGATGGATACCGAAGTGAACATGCTTTGAAATTTAACTTCAATGCAACAAACAACATGGCTGAGTATGAAGCTCTGCTACTTGGTTTGCAAATAGCATTGGAGTTGAAAGTCATGGCGATACGAGTATATAGTGACTCACAGCTTGTGGTTAATCAAGTTAACTCAATCTGCGAAGTCATTGATCCTGTGATGGTGAAATATATAGCCCTGGTGGCCAACTTGAAATGCAAATTCCAGAAATTCTGTCTGAATAAAATTCCTTGAACTAAGAATGAACAAGCAAATTCACTTTCTAAATATGCTTCTGATAGCTCTTTAAGCTCCAGATCAGTTTTTTTGGAAGTCTTAGATGAACCAAGCTTCATGAAGCCACGAATGATGGAGATCAGCATAGACCCGGACACATCGAGCTGAACTGACTCAATTATCTCCTTTTTACAAGACAGAACAGTGCCTGAAAATAAGTAAGAGGCAATGAGGTTGAGGAAGAAAGCGTCTTGGTATACACTTGTCGATGGGGTCCTCTATAAGAGATCTTTCTCACTCCCTCTTCTACGGTGCTTGAATCCCTATGAAGCTGAGTACGCACTTCGAGAGGTGCATGAAGGTGTCTATGGGAGCCACATTGGTGCTAGAACTCTGGCTCACGAAGTCCTAAAGCAAGGATATTACTGGCCAAATATGTATAAAGATGCTACTCACTTTGTTCAAAGATGCCCAAAGTGCCAATTCTTCGCACATCTAACTCACCAACTAGCAAAAGAGCTCATGAACTTGGTAGCACTATGGCCATTTGCTCAGTGGGGACTTAATATTTTGGGCTCATTCATGAAAGGAGTTGGAGGTGTAACCCATCTGATTGTTGGAGTTGATTATTTTACAAAATGGGTTAAAGCTCACCCATTGTCCAATCTTACTTCCAAAAAGGTTGAAGACTTTATTTTCGGCTCCATTATCTGCAGATATGGAATCCCGAACCAGATTGTAGCTGATAATGGTACTCAGTTTAACTGCTCTTCTTTCTGAGATTTTTGTTCCAACTACGGGATCAAATTACAGTTCACCTCGGTTTACCATTCGGAGTCCAATGGTATGGTAGAATCTGTTAATAAAGCCATGGTTTAAGTACCATTTTGGTCCCTCAACTTTTCACTTTAGCATCAAAATTGCCCTTCACCTTTAAAAAGTACTAAAATTATCCTTAAACTTTCATTTTTGGTACCAAAATAGTGCTTTTGTCAGTTAAGTGACAAGTGGCATGTTATCTTGCCACAAAATCACTGAAACTTTTTAATTTTAACTACGTGTAAATTCCAGATAAGAAAATTTAATATTTTTTTATTATTATTTCATAATTTTTCAAAACTAAAGACAAAAAAATAAAAACTTCATTTTCTTTCTTATTCTTCTCTCTCTTGTCGATTTTTCTTCCTCTCCAAAACAAACACAGATTTGCCCAATGATGGAAACTCATTAAGTGGAGATTGCTTTGGTTTTTTTCGTGAGCCTCCATGCTTTCTTCCACTCATCAGTTTTAGCTGCTGCTGTTGCTGCTTCTTCATCAAAACAAACACAGATCTAGGTTTGTCTCAAGCCTGGTCTCATGGCCCCCACATGGCTCTGCAGCAACAACGGCTGGTATGCGCCATCGCAAGCTCACTATAGCCTCTATCGCGTCAGGATCTGGCTCTGTCAGCTCCGGCTCTAGCAGTAACATGTGTCGTGATCTAGCTCACTGTAGGCTTGAACAATGGTTGACGAGGCCCTTGGCTTGAAGATCTTGCCCAAAGATTCTACACAAAGTTCCGTTGCTTGGCTGCACAATCAAGCCAAGCGCTTCCTTCCCTTAACGCCTCGCATCACCTCATCCATTTCTCGTTTCTTGGGATCCACTTCAGTTCGAGCAAATGGAGCTTTAGGTCACTTCTTATCAATGCTGCTTCTCCTCCCAATCGCTACTCTTCACTTGCTCTTGGGCCCTTCGACAAGCGTC